CGCAGCTGCCTCTGCGCGTCCTGGGAAGGTACATAATTGTCGCCGCCGGAGACGACTCGACGCCGCTGAGATCGGAGATCAAGCTCTGACAGGTCGCACGTCGCTCTTTTGACGCCGACGTGACTCACCCGTGCAGATCACATCAGGACACGGTCTCGACGCGCTCGGTACGACGCCTGCGACCCGTCTCGGGACAGGTGGCACGACGCTCATCGCGCCCGCCAGCGCTGCCATGCAGGCTGCCACGACGAGGTCGAGCACGCTTCTACACGCTCGCCCAGCCTTTCTTTCCATCCCATTAGGCAGCCTGGGAACGGTGGCGGTCAGAGGCAATACGAGGGGTGGTGGAACCACATGTCACGGCTACTGCCGGCTCGACCCCACGATAGCCTCCGAAGGCTGACTTTGCGGCACCATCATCGGACGATGTAGACGAGTTGGGTCGCTTTCGCGGTAGCCAGATGACCTCTCATACTAGGAGCATCGGCCATGGCGGCAGGGAGCGCGGGGGAGGGCGCTGGAAGCAACACGGAGCTCCGTTGGAGACGTTTTCAAGATTAGCGTGTCAGAGTGAAATGGCACTAGCCCCAGAGAGCTGGCCCCGCCCCCGGGCTGCCAAGCCGCAAGCCGACACGTGTGCGGTGTGGAAAGGAGCGTGGAGAGGGCCGGGAGACTCAACTGACAACACGCGCCTCTGCGCAGGAACGCGCTCTCGCAAGCTTACTCGTCATGATGTTGTTAACGCGCAGCGGCAGAGAGAGAGTACGGACAGCTCAGCAATGCGCCTCCCGTCAAGAAAGCAAGAGAGATCGCCCCCGCGTGGGCGCGTACTCCCCGTCTCGCCCCAGCTCGTCCAGCAGAGTGCCCGAGCCCGACTTGTCCGCAAATCCGTCCGACTCACCAAAGGTGCCCGCGCCTGGCCAGATGGCGGCCGCAAGGGAGAAGATGCGTTTGCCTGCTGTCGACAGAGGCCACCGATCAGTCGCGTCGAGCATTAGGGAGCCGTCTCGTCGGCCATGGTATGGCTGGACGACACACGCTCGGCAGCTCGGCGGCGGGCGCACTTGCCAAGGCGGCGGCGGGCACTCGGAGCATGCGGGTCCTCTCGGACGGTCGCGCAAGTAATTTGGCGGCGAGACCTGGGCGGCCGCCCTGCGCGGGCAGTTGTCGGTGCCATCGCCACAGCGCCAGTCGATGGTGGGGTCTCCGACTTGCGCCGCTGCGCCGACAATTAGCGCTATGAAGCACGCCATCACGATCGCAAGTCCTACCAGGACGCGGTGGTTGCCCCCTAATTCCGGCGTCCTTCCACGCGGCGTATTTGTGAGTATGGCGAAGAGGGCGGACAGAGCACCGGCAGCTCCGGGGTGCTTGGCAAAGAGGAAATGAGACGTTTGACTTATCCCTCATCGCGTACCACTGTACGTGTCGTCCTGCTACGCAACACCTTCCGTTGGTTGGCGAGTCTGGCAACCGACCGTCCGTTACCTTCTTCATCAATTATTTGTGGAAGAAAGAGACATTTGTAGCCTGGCAACGTGGCGTCGGTGGGCCACCTCTACGGGTTTGGAAAGACGCTCTAGACAAAGCGCGTTGACGGGCTAGCCCGCCACCCACCCTGAGCGATAGGCGCGCTGATAGTGAACCTGAACTGACCCCGTTACTAGATAGGTTAAAATCGTTCTTCTAAAGGTATATGGCTCCCCCGTTGTCCGCCGCTTATCCCCGTGACCTGGTGACCTGCGCAAAGCTGTGGGCCGCTCCCAGTGGGGTCGCTGTTGGCGCTGCCACCGCAGCTGCGCTGCGCCGCCGCCGCCGCCGCACGGCGCCAGCGCGGCCGCCTGCCTGGTCTGATGTCCGCACAGTCCGTCCGGGCGCGTCGAGAGTGGGAGGCTGGTGTGGCGTGCAATCATGAGACAGCCGCATGGGTCGCAAACGCTGGGTACACAGTGCATCGCATTTCTCGCATGAACCGTCCGCATGTGAATCCGGTCCAGAGTCCACACTCTCTAACTACTGACATAGAGTGCTGTACGCAACGGCCGCTTGGGCTTCGCGGTTGGTTGTGTCCCGAGATCTTCGTGTGCTTTTAGCTTACTGGGAGAAAAGGGAGAGGGGGTTGTGTTAACTAGGCCCCTAAGGGCCCTACGCGCGGCGCGCTCTCTCTCTTGTGTGTGCATTTGTGCCGCGAAGCCGAAGGAAGCGACTTCCCAACTTCTCCCCGTGATTAGAGGCTCTTACGCGATTGTCATACACGCAGTTCCCTCCTCGCCGCCATCTGGCTCGCCACCGTCCCACGGCCGGGCCTCGCCACCGGCCAGCTGCTATTGCTGCACTCTGGCGCTGGCGTGGCGTGCTTGTTGAAGCGGAGCGCCGCCCACTCGCGCAGCTCGGCGACGCATTTGAGGTGGTGCTCGGAGGAACCCTGCACGACGATCTGCTGTGCGAGCGGCACGCTCTGCAGAGCGAGGGGCGCAAAGTCCGCCATCGATCGCGACGAGAACAAGATTGGGGACGTGGGAGACGCGTCCGGGGAGACAGGGACGTGCCAGCCCAAGTTTGCTGCACTGTGAATGGCCACAAATTTGGTTTCGGCGGCACCCTCGACCAAACCTTGCTCAAGGTTCTTGGGTGCAAAGAGCGCGGCCACAAGTCACAGGGCCCGCTCGTCCATGCGACCGGCAAAGGCTGGGTCAAAGAGCACAAGGGACAGACAGTTCTACGACGCGCTCCACAAGAACGGAATCGTCAAATTTGTCTCGTCGAAAGCCAGGGCGGCATTGCGCCGCCAACCAAGAGAATCATCTTCAACTTCGCCAAAGAGGTCGGTAGCCCGAGCGCCGTCGACCGCACCGACTACGGCACAGCCTCCTCCGGCAGCGCCGGGGCTTCGCCCAGCACCACTCGCAACAGCTCTCTCGCGCCGCCGTCTGTGGCGATCCGATGCGCAAAACATCAACAACGCTGCTCGCAACATGCGTGTCGCGCACTCATTCATGACCGACCTCAATGTCCCTCCCCCCTCCTCGCCACGCGGGCCTTCTAGGCCCGCGGGTAGTCTCCCCCCATCCCCAGGGCCTCCAGGGCTCGCACCTCAACCTCTCACAGACCAGCGCACAGCGCCATAGGACGTATTTTCTTCTCAATAACAAGGCTGTGAACATATCAGCCCTCGGCGCCACCCCGACGCACCTCACCCTACATCGGTTATTCTTTTTCTTTGAAGGCAGAGCTCGCTGGTGATGCTTTTCGCTGCATAGATGGGACGCGGTGAATAACAGCCCCAGGCGGACTGGACACGGCCGGCGCCGTATGGGTGGATGGATGCGGGACAGGAGATGGCGGCATGCTATCCGCTGGAGCGACACACAGACACACAAACTCACAAGACACTCAGTCAGCTGGGCATCTATCTGTAAGAATAATGTATCCTCAAGGCAAATCTGCCGTGAATACTCGAGTAGCAAGCAGCGGCGTCTGCTCTCACCACAGAGATTAGAGAACGGCATGCAAGAGCGCGACGCACAGCGGCTCAGCGGGCTCATCTCGCACGACAGCGGCTGGAGCCCCGACGAGCTGCTCAGGCTCTTTGCTGCCCACAGCACGAGCATCAACCACAGGCACGCTGCGAACCTGTGGAACAAACTGGGCAAGAAGCGCGTTGAGCGGCGGCACGAGGAGCAGCTGGAGCGGCTGGTGCAGCGAACGCTCGAACTCATCCCTTTTTGCGATGCACGCAACCTCGCAAACATCGCTCACGGCGCGGCCAAGTGCCGGCTGCCAGCGAGTGTGGTGAGCTCGCTGTTCGCGGCGATTGCGGAGGCGGCGGTGCGGAAAGGGTTTGCTGGCTTCAAGCCGCAGGAGCTGGCCAACACGGTGTGGGCGTACGCGAAAGCGGGCGTGGCTGCGGACACGCTTTACTCGGCGGCGGCGGCAGAGGCGGCGGCGCGCGGGCTGGCCGGCTTTACGCCTCAGAACCTGTCCAACACGGTGTGGGCGTACGCGAGGGCGGGCGTGACTGCGGACAAGCTCTTCGCGGCGGTGGCGGAGGCGGCGGTGCGCGGCGGGCTGGCCGGCTTCAACCCTCAGGACATGTCCAACACGGTGTGGGCGTACGCGACGGCTGGCGTGGCTGCAGAGACGCTGTATGCGGCGGTGGCGGAGGCGGCGGTGCGCGGCGGGCTGGCCGGCTTCACCCCTCAGGACATGTCCAACACGGTGTGGGCGTACGCGACGGCGGGCGTGACTGCGGACAAGCTCTTCGCGGCGGTGGCGGAGGCGGCGGTGCGCGGCGGGCTGGCCGGCTTCAGCCCTCAGAACCTGTCCAACACGGTGTGGGCGTACGCGACGGCAGGCCATTATGACCAGGCATTGCTTGCCGAGTGCTCGCGCGTGATTGAGGTCTCGCTCGCGCGGGATCCGTCGATGTGGAGCGAAGAGGAACGCACTCAGCTTCACCAATGGCAGCTCTGGGTTTCTCTGGAGCGAGGGGCAGACGCGCAGCAGCACCTCATGATCTCCGAGTCCCAGCGCAAGCTCTGCCGCGACGCCATGCAATGCACGCAAGCCATCATTTCGCGCTTTCAGCGCTCTGTTGCAGCTGCACTCGCCGCCGTGTGGGGCCCGGGCTTTGAGGAGGAGCATCTCGAGCCGCGCACCGGCTACTCTCTCGACCTGGCACTGCCCTCCTCACGCGTCGCGATCGAGGTGGACGGCCCCTCGCATTTCCTGCTGCCCGACGGCCGGGGTGAGCGCAAGCCCAACGGGCCCACGCTGCTCAAGCGGCGCCTCCTCGCGGCGGCCGGCTGGCGGGTGATCAGCGTTCCATTCGACGAGTGGGACGGCTTGCGGTCGGCCAGCGCGCGGCAGGCCTACCTGGAGAGGGTCGTCCTGCCGGAGATCGAAGAGAGCGAGGTGGCGGCGGCGGCGGGCACCGCGGCGGGGAATCAGGCGGCGAAGGCGGTGGAGGCGGCGGCACAGGCGGCGGCGAGGGCGGAGGCGGAGGCGGAGGTGGAGGCGGAGGCGGAGGCGGAGGCGGAGGCGGAGGTGGAGGCGGAGGCGGAGGCGGAGGCGGAGGCGGAGGAGAGGAGGAAGAGGAAGAGGAGTGTGAGGAGGAGAGAGAGGAGGAGGAGGAGGCCGTCGGTGGTGGTGGTGGAGGAGGAGGAGGCTGCGCCTGCGGCGAGGGGCTCCTCTCTGAGCTGGACCGTGCTCGTCTCGCTGCTGCTGCTGCCGCTCCTCGCCGTGGTCGCCAAGAAGCAGGGGCTCGGCCTCGCGCTGGGCGGGGCAGGCTCGAGGGCAGGAGGCCCCTCCTCGCGCGCACGCGGCAACGCTGACGCCGGGAGGGCCGCGTCCGACAAATCTCGCGCTGACGCCGGGAGGGCCGCGTCCGACAAATCTCTGCCGTGCGTGCAGTGGGCGGAGGCGGGCGAGTGCAAGCGGAACCCGGACTACATGATAGTGCATTGCGCCGCCGCGTGCAGGGTCGCCAATCGGGCTCGGAGGGCAGGAGGCCCCTCCTCGCGCGCACGCGGCGACGCTGACGCCGGGAGGGCCGCGTCCGACAAATCTCTGCCGTGCGTGCAGTGGGCGGAGGCGGGCGAGTGCAAGCGGAACCCGGACTACATGATAGTGCATTGCGCCGCCGCGTGCAGGGCGGCGCAGTGACGCGGTCATGGGCGCGTTTGAAGCACAGAGGCCGCAGTCTCCAGCTCCGCAGGACCACGAGCAGGCGCACATCGATGCCCTCGCGGGCGACGCGGCCTGTAGGTAAGGTAACGGTACGGCTTCTCGGTGGTAGGTAAACTTCTCGGAGTTCTCGTCCACACACCTGACACACGAGGTGGCTGGTTGCTGGCAGACTTGTTGCAAAAAGTCTGGCTATCTACTCAAAAAAAGTGACGTAGAGCACCCACTTTTTAAGCGTTCGGGGAACACACAAGTTCCGCCTGCGTGCGCCGCCAGCTTCTCAGGGCCATCGCGCGAAAAACGACGGAGGAGATGCATCCTAGCTGTCGCGTGTCGCCACCGAAGGCGACTCGACGTCGCTGAGATCGGAGATCAAGCTCTGACAGGTCACACGTCGCTCCTTTGACGCCGACGTGACTCACCCGTGCAAAGCGCATCAGGACACGGTCTCGACGCGCTCGGTACGACGCCTGCGACCCGTCTCGGGTCACGACGCTCATCGCGCCTGCCAGCGCTGTTGTGCAGGCTGCCACGACGAGGTCGAGCACGCTTCTACACGCTCGCCCAGCCTTCCTTTCCATCCCATTAGGCAGCCTGGGAACGGTGGCGGTCAGAGGCAAAGCCTACGAAGGGTGGTGGAACCACATGTCACGGCCACCGCCGGCTCGACGCGACGATAGCCTCCGAAGGCTGACTTTGAGGCACCATCATCGGACGATGTCGACGAGTTGGGTCGCTCTCGCGGTAGCCAGGTGGCCCCCCATACTAGTAGCACCAGCCATGGCCTCAGGGAGCGCGGGAGAGGGCGCTGGGAGCAACACGGACAAAAAAACATCAAAAGTGGTCATGTTCACACCACCCGTATTTGCAACTAGTCGGCAGCCTGCTGGTGGGGGCAGTGCCAGTGGGGCAAGGCCGCAAGGGGGGGCGACCCTCGCGTCTCCACGTCCTGGAGCACCTGGAGTGCAGACTGCAGTTGGCAGCCTCACACCCAGGGCTGGGGAGCTAAGAAGCTCACCCAGCGGGGCCGGATGATCGGTATATGGGTATCGGTTGCGCTTGCGGGCTCAAGAGAGCCCTTGCTAGCTATAGCCCTGGGGAGTGCGCGGTCGCAGGGCCATTTAACACGGGTCTCCGAGGGTTAGCCCGCGCTCTGGGTTTCCCCTAGCAGCGAACGCCCCCTCTACTCGGTCTCCGAGGGTTGGTTCTGCGCTGCCGGGTGTTTCCCCTTTAGCTGCAGAGCGCACCCTCTACTCGGAGCTAGTAAAATACGAGAATACTCTGCTCCGAGGGTTGGCCCCGCGTACCAGGTTTCCCCTTAACTGCAGGACGCCCCCTCTACTCGGGAGCTAGCGATGAGGGAGGGTGTAGAGGATGTAGAGTGTAGAGCGCTGTGTAGAACTGTAGAGCGCTGTAGAGCGCTGTAGAGCGCTGTAGAGCGCTGTAGAGCGCTGTAGAGCGCTGTAGAGCTGAAAGTTCCATGGAGTTGATTAGCTAGGAAGGTGAAGAACAGCTAACTAGCTGTATATAGTCGCGCGCGATCTGCCGGCGTGCGTATGAGCTCACTAGCTAGAGCTCACACTAGAGGTAGGTAGGTAGAAAGGTGAAGAACAGCCAGGCTCGGACTGGACACCAACGCGGTATGGGTGGGGACGCAAGACAGACTAGAGGCCGTCATCGCATCGCCCTGGGACCCATCGCTGACTTCTGACTGTCGTTGCTGTCTTTCCCTTTCTCGACTGTCTGAGCTTGTGCGTCTTCCGGGGTTGTGTTTTGTTTGAAGAGAATTTTACAACAAAACTCCCTCGCACGACACTAGGCAGGTAGGTAGGTAGAAAGGTGAAGAACAGCCAGGCTCGGACTGGACACCAACGCGGTATGGGTGGACGCGAGACAGATGATGACGACACGCACGAGCGACACACAGACACAAACAAGCTCACTCACAAGACACACAGCCAGCTGGCGAGTGAACGCCGTGCAGGCAGCCCGTGCCTTTTGGTGTACCCCGTTTGTGCCGCGTCCTGTGCCCCCGAGTTCATTTTATAAAAAAACTACCAGCTGGCTGCCACATAGGCACGGGACTGGCGCGCACTGGCACTAACACAACTGTGAAGAGAACAGCTCGAACCCAGGGTCGACTCAGGGTGGCGTGGCGTTCAGATCTCGCAAACGCGCCCACCCCGCCTCGCCGGCCATGTTCGCGCTCATCGCCTCACTGCCGCTTGCCGCGCAGCCTCGCACCTGCTGGGAGATGAAGCCCGGCTACAATGCCATCTCGCGCCTCGTGGCGGCGCCCGGCAAAGAGCGGCGGCCCGACATCTTCTTTTTCGGAGAGACGGGCTCGGCGGACGCCTGCCGCGGCGCGTGCGAGGCGGAGGGGCCGGGCTGCGCCGCATTCGCCTGGATGGGCCCCGGCAAGCGCGGCGTCTTCGGAGGCGCCGACAAGTGGGCGCGTGGGTGCTACGGCCGCGGCGCCTCCACGCGAACCATGGTGCCAGACAAGGAGCGCGTGAGCGGCGTCAAGGTGCCGTGCGACCAGCTCGCCGACGGCGACGCGGCCGCCGGGCAGCAGCAGCAGCAGCAGCAGCAGCAGCAGCAGCAGCAGCAGCAGCGGTATCAGGAGCAGCAGCAGCGCCAGCAGCCGCAGCAGCAGCGCCAGCAGCAGCAGCCTGGAGGTGCGGCGCGGGGGCCTGGAGGCGGCGGCGGCGAGGCGAGGCCGGTGTACGGGCTCGAGGCGCTGCTCGGCGACGTCGACCCCGACTCGGTCCAGCAGCAGCCGCGGTATGCCACCGAGTCCGGAGCTCAGGCCGCGGCTGGCGGCGGGGCACAGGCAACTGCGACGTCGGCGGGGAGGGCGTCGGGAGGAGGAGGAGGCGTTGGCGGCGGCGCGACGGGCGGCAGGCAGGAGGACATGCAGGCGCTGCTCGAGCAGCTGTACGGCAAAAAGGCCGGCGGCGCGGCCGCGGGTGGCAGTGCGGCTGGCGGCGCAGCAGCTGGCAAGGCGGCGGCGGGCGCGGCGGGGGCAGAGTCAGACGCCGATTTGATGGAGCTGCTGTACGGCAAGAAGAAGACGGCGGCCGCGGCGGCGGCGGGGGCAGCTACTTCGGGCGCGGCGGGCGGCGGCGGCGCAACGCAGGCCGCGACGGCTGGCGGCAAGCAGGACGAGATGCAAGCGCTGCTCGAGCAGCTGTACGGCAAAAAGGCGGCCGGCGGCGCGGCGGCGGCAGCTGGTGGCGGCGCGGCTGGCGGCGCGACGGCGAAGAAGGCGACGGAGGCGGACGCGCAGGCGGCTGTCGACGCCGCGCAAACCGCAGGCACGCGTGCCAAGCCCCGCCGTTTGCAAGCCCGTGTCACGAACCCTTGTCAGCGGCTCCGGGTGCCGCGCCTGTCGCCGGCGCCAGCGCCGACGCCGATACCGACTCCCGTGCCGGTGGGCTCGGGCGGGCCCGCAGTGTCAGCTGCCGAGCCAGCCGCGCGGCGCTCGCCCTCCCTCGGGAGTGCGCCCACACCGTGTGATTCGAACACGAGCGCAGCACACGGCAGTTTTGGCCACCGGTCCCTCGCAAGCTGTCCTCGCCGCCGGCCTCACTTCCCCCACCCCTCTCCCCAGCTCTTGCCCAGCCCTGCGCCCTTCGCCCCCTCCCGGCAGGCGTGCCGCTCAAGACCATCAACGCCGTCGTCGACCAAGTCAACAGCGGCAAGATGACCTTCGACGATTGCGTCGCCAAGCTGAGCAGCCTCGTGGCGGCGCAGAAAGGCCCCCGCTCCCTCCCCCCCTGCCGCCACCACCACCCCGCCGCCTCCACACCCCACGCCTCCTTTGCCCCCCCTTCCCGCCCCACCCCCCGCGCCTCGCCACGCGCTCCTCCACCCCCGCCCTGCCCTCCGCACTCCCCTCCCCACACACCCTCACCCGCAGACGCTCTGCACGCCAGGTGCTGCAGCCACCGCCGCGGCGGGAGCTGCCGGGGGCGCCGCCGCCGCTGCCACAGGTGCGCTGCCGCCCCCCTCCCCCCCTTCCCTTCACCCGCTCCCACAGCCGCCTCGCACCGCCGCTTCCTCCGCACTCTAGGCGCGACGGCGGGCGGCAGGCAGGAGGACATGCAAGCGCTGCTCAAGCAGCTGTACGGCAAAAAGGCGGGCGGCGGCGCGGCGGCGGCCGCCGGTGGCGGCGCGGGCGGCGGCGCGGGCGGCGGCGCGGCGGCGGGCGGCGGCGCGGCGGAGCCTGACTTGATGGAGCTCTTGTACGGCAAGACGAAGACGGCGGCGGCGGCGGGGCAGGCGGCGGCGGGCGCGGCGGCGGCAGAGTCAGACGCCGATTTGATGGAGCTGCTGTACGGCAAGAAGAAGCCGGCGGCCGCGGCGGCGGGTGGGGCAGCCGCTTCGGGCGCGACAGGCGGCGGCGGCGCAACGCAGGCCGCGACGGCTGGCGGCAAGCAGGACGAGATGCAAGCGCTGCTCGAGCAGCTGTACGGCAAAAAGGCGGCCGGCGGCGCGGCGGCGGCAGCTGGTGGCGGCGCGAGCGGCGACGCGGCCGGCGGTGCGGCGGCGGGCGGCGGCGCGGCGGAGCCTGACTTGATGGAGCTCTTGTACGGCAAGAAGAAGACGGCGGCGGCGGCGGCGGGGCAGGCGGCAGCGGGGCAGGCGGCGGCGGGCGCGGCGGGGGCAGAGTCGGATGCAGGTTTGACGCAGGGTGCGGCGGCCGCCGCACAGCAGCAAGCGGCGCAAGCGGCGCAGCAGCAGCGCGGCTTCGCACGCGGTGAGTCTGTTGTCAGCCGCCGCCAGGCCGCCGCCGCCACGGCTGCCGCTTCTGAGCCGGTCGCGGGTGGCAGTGCGGCTGGCGGCGCAGCGGCCGGCAAGGCGGCGGCGGGGGCGGCGGGGGCAGAGTCAGACGCCGATTTGATGGAGCTGCTGTACGGCAAGAAGAAGCCGGCCGCGTCGGCGGCGGCGGGCGGGGCAGCCGCGTCGGGCGCGGCGGGCGGCGGCGGCGCAGCGCAGGCCGAGGTCGTGGACGCGGCGGCGGCGCCGCGCGCGAGGCCCACGCCTCAGCGCATGCAAATGCGCGGGGCGAGAAAGCCAGGCATGGGCGAGGCTGAGGCGCCAGCCGCCGCGGCAGCTACCCCGGCCGCGGCTGCCGCCCCTGCCGCCGCCGTCCCCGTTGCCGCCGCCGGTGATCGGGTTGCATATTCCGTCGACGCTGCGGCGCGCAGCGCACCGGCTTCCGAGTACCCCCAAGCGGCCGCCGCAGAGGCGCGACTCGCGGCGCTCCAGCGCGAGATGGAGGTTCGGGGGGAGGGGACGGCGGTGGGCGTCTTGAGGGGGGGAGTTCGGCACTGACGGCGCGCGCTTCCCGCCATAGGCGTTGCAGCGCGAAGTCGAGCTCAAGCAGAAGCTTGCGGAGTTGCAGGCCAAGGTCGCCGAGATGGACGCAGGGCGGGCCGCGCCGACCGCCGCCGCGGCTGCCTCGGCGCCGACGACGCGCCCAACCGCCGCGGTGCCGGTGCCGGTCACGGCGCCGTCGCCGAGCATGGACGACATGGATTAGCCCTAGACGCATTTTCGGCGCGTGTTTCACCGTGTTATCGATCGTCCGGTCGACACTCGTCAGGAGGCGGACCCAGCGACAGGCCACAGCGCACATGGGCGGGTCTGAGAGACGCGTGGGAGCGCCGAAGGCATTGCAGTTTGCATGATATAGAGACGAAGAACGCAAAATTTATTGCGTCAAACGAAAGATGCAAGACCAACTCACGGCTCGGACGGGGCCCGGCCGGACTGCGCCTGGTGTGCATGGTCGTGTACAGGCCACGCTCGCGCGGGGGTGTCCGGTGAGAGGCTCCCATCTAAAGCCGGTTCCTGGCCGTGCCTCGCCTCTCCTCCCCGTCTCCCCACGGGCGCGCCGCGGGCCCATGGGGTGGCGGGGAGGAGGGGGAGCAACAGGAAGAGGCTCAAGCCGACGACAGCCTCGCCTCCAGTGCGCGGATCGTGGCCTGCGCGTTCGCCAGCTCCTCCGCCGTCGCCGCGAGCGCCGACTTGAGCTCGGCCGCCTCCGCGGCGCCACCGCCAGCGGGCTCGCTCGAGGGCTCGCCTGCTGCCGCCCGCGGTTCAGACGACGGCTCGCTGCTGCTGCTCTCTGTGCTCTCGGCGGGCGGACCGCCGCCCCCCGACGCCCACTTCTCGTCCCGCTTCTCGGCGATGCCGACGGGGGAGACGGCGGCGTCGGAGGTGTCCCACGCATTCCACGGGCGAGACCTGCACACACACGATGAGACGGGAGGGGGGGGGGGGGGTGAACCAGGGGGGGGGAAGGGGAGGGCCCCAAAAGGGGGGGGGGGAGCTAAAACGGAGACGCCGCGATCGGCAGTGGCCCCGCGCCCGTACTCTCTGCCCCCGCGTCGTCGAGCGCGCGCTCCCCGCATCTCGCACGATCTCGGCTAATCTGCGCCCGTCGTCGAGCGGGCTGTCCCGCTCGTCGCTCCGGACACTGGCCGGGCTGATTAGCCCTTCCTCGTCCCCGCGCGACCGCTCGCCTGGCACCGGCGAGCGGGCGGCCGGGTCGCGCCAGCCGGCGAGCGAGAGCGCCACCTCCTCGCCGGACGAGGAGTGGCGGCGCGGGGCGGGCCAGGTGGGCCGCGCCCTCCGAGGCGAAGAGGAGGCGGGGCGGGGCGCCACGGCGGGCTCGGGGTGGCTGCGCCGCTGCGCCGGCGCCACCGCCGCGCCACCGTGGGCTGCGCCGCCGCCGGCGTCCGTGAAGCGGAGAGAGACTCGGCGCAGCCCGGCCGTGACCAGCGCGACGGGTTGGGGGGTGGACGAGGCTGCGTCGCGCAAGCGGTACGCGGCGGCAATGTGCTCCCCCGCGGCGATCTCGCTCTCCGTCTCGTCAAGCAAGGCGCGCAAGTCTGTGTGGATGCGGTCGTCGCGGCGGAAGGAGGAGTGCGCCGAGCCGATCCCGCCGACGGGCGCGGCGAACGAGCCGCGAGACTGCCGCCGCAGCTCGGCCGCCTTCTCCTCCGACGAGAGGCGCGCGAAGGGGCGCCGCGCCTGTGCCGAGGGAAAAGGTGAGGGGTGAGGCGAGCACACCTCACTCCACGCGCCACGTGCACACGCGGTGGAGGGAAAGGAGCAGGGGCGCGCCTGATTGTGCGCCCTCGCCCTCGCCAGCCTCTCCGCGCGACGCCCCCCTCCCGCCTCGGGAGCCGGCAGCTCGGCCGGCTGCTCCTGCTCGGACGGCTCTGGCAGAACTGCGCCTCCTCCGCGCGCGGACTTGCCTCGCCCAGAGGTGATGGCGAGCACGCCCCCGAGGGCGAGCGCCACGCCGGCGAGGAACTGGAGCCACTGCTGCCACGGCATGCCGCTGAACTCGCGGTACACTACCTAGAGGGCAGACTCCGCAGGAGGCGTGTGAGGAGGCGCGGCTGGCATGTGTTGCGGCACACGCCGAATCGCGCGAGACCCCTCCGCCGACGATGGAGGCGAGGGTGAAGGTGCAGTAGTAGACGGGCACCACCTCGGTGTTGCCAAAGATCATCATCGCCCTGTTAAGGAAGTAGGCGGACCAGATTGCGGTGGTGACAATGATGGCGAGGAGGAACCAAAAGAGGTAGTGGGCGAGGGTGAGGCGGCACGGGGGGAAGAGCTCGTCGCCGACGCAGTGCGCGCCGGCGCAGTCGCCGCCGACCGCCTGCGTGAGCATGGAGGAGAAGCCGCGCGCCGCGATGACGGTCGTCGAGGAGATCATCGAGCAGAGGAGAAGCCAGACCAGGACGCTCTTTTGGGCGTACCGAGGCTCGACGTGGACGAGGAAGAGGACGACGGCGCACCAGAGCCCAATCAGGTAGCCGTACGCCGCCGGGCGCGCGTAGTACTCGCGCTGCAGCACGACGGCGTTGAGGTCCACCGGATCCTCCGGCACGGCGACGATGATGAGCACGACGCCGCCGACGATGGCGACCAGCCCAGCGGCATCCCGCCAGCGGAACGGCTCTTTGAGAAAGAGGACAGCGATCACCTCGTTGGCGACCACGCCCACCGACCCGACTGGAGCAACGACCGAGGCGGGCGCAAAGCCGTAGGCGAGCATGTTGCCCAGCTCGCCTCCGACATTGAGCAGGAGGCCGAGCCACCAGAGCGGCAGCTTGAGCATGCCCTTGACGGGCTTTCCGTCGGCGCCCTCGTTGCGCATGTGCGCCGTCTTCTGCACGTTGAGCGAGACGGCGATGATCACGTCGGCGATGACTGAGAGGACCACGCCCACCATGAAGGTGCTGGTGCCCGCCTCCTCCTCGCTGAAGGGCTCGCTGCTGCTGCTGTTGGCGCCGCCGGGCGGGACGACGGCGCACGTGCCTGTGCACACCGGGAGGGAGGGGCGCTCTCGATCAGATTCTGCAGCGCCTCTCGGGCGCGTGCGGCGGCATGGGCGCGCGCCGTTGACAGCGTCGCGCGTCATTCGTTGATTTGAGAACCGGGTCGTTGACGATTTTGAGGACGACGGTCTCGAGCACTGGAAGCGCCATCACAGAAAAAACATTTTCGTCCGATAACGATTGGGGTGGGGGCCCCAACTCGTGGGTAGGCCACTAGTTTATCGTAGGATACTCACGGATACCTCTCCTGAGTCCCTCTCGTGTGCCCTCGCGCACATCGCATGCGGTCTTCACTCAGCCTCCGCTGCTGTGAACACCAAACTTGCACTTCAGCTGGTGCGCGCTTTCGCCGCCTACTTTCGCGAGCGCGCTTGGCCCTCGCTCCTCATGCGCGGCGCTCTCGCTGCGCTCTCTCCCTGCTCATGGGACCTGATGCCGCGCCACCTCTGTGGCCGCTCGCAATCAAGGGCAACTAGCCACGGGCAGCGAGGAGCGCCCTAAGCAGAGCGAGCTCGCGCCGAATGTCCGCAAAGTACGCGTCGGCGAGCTTCGCGTACGGGCTGCCGGAGGCTGGCGCGGTGGCAGGAGCTACCTTTGAGACTGCTGTCGCAGCCGCCGCACCTCTGGGCTTGCACACTCCGGACTTGTGGCTGTCGCTGAAGCCTCCTCGCTTTGCGAGGTACTCGGCGAAGCTCTCAGCCTTGTGTATCGCTTGCTGCTTACCCTTGGGATCGCTCGGGTCGTAAACTGTCGGTGGCGGATCCCTTGTCGCTTCGCCACCGCCGAAGCCTTTGCCGCCGTGCTGCATCGTGACGCTGCACGGCGACGCTGCGTAGCGTGCAACGTGAGTCACTGGAGTTGACGAGGTCGGCCAGAGGCTCGAAAAGCCGGTGACGGACGAAATTAGCAGCAGCATCATGGGCGACGATCGGCCAGCTACGAACCACCGCGGCCCGGGTCAAAGCGGCGACGACACACTGCGATCGGCACGCCCACCACTCGCGCCGAAGGGAGTGTTGGGCCGATTCTGTGATTGCGGCTGCGTGGTCGCTCGGCGGCCGTCGCGTTCGGTCGTCCCGTGCCGGCCTCGGCCTCGCGGCCCTCGCACACCCTGGGTTCGTCCGAATTCGAATCGCCGTTGTGGAGTACGGGCGCGGCAAAGTCGGCGCCTCGACAGCGCCTCGACGGCGGCCGCAAAAGCCGTCTCCTGCACGTCGCCGCGCGGCCTCGAGGCGCCGCGAGCGTGTACTGAGGTCAGCACGACTCGCTCCGGCCCGAGACGGCCGACGCGCGCGCTCTCTCTCCCACCTCTCCATCCCGACGCTCCGCGCTCGCTGTGTCGCCCGCGATCGCGGCATAACCACCGAGCCGCAGCGCGGCGCTCGGCCCGCGCCGCCGTCTCACGAGCTCGTCTCTCGCCCGCCGCGCAGGCGAAAACCAACTCTACCCGCCCCTCGTGCCACTCTGCAGCCGCCGCTCTCGTCTCTCCTCTGTCGCTTCGCCGCGGTCGCGGCCGCACGGAGGTGCCACGGGCCGTGCGAGTGATACTCCGCTGCGTGCTGTCCGGCTCCATATACTGCGACTGGTGCGCCGCGGATGTTTGAGAGTGCGGTTTAAAAAGGTCCTGCCCCGCGCCTCCGCGGCACAGAGGCACTGGAGGCAAACTGCGGGTGAATAAATATTTTTGAACGGACAAACGCGAGCTCGCGGGGTCCACACGAAAGCACCGCTTGGCGGTGTCAGAACCGCCCTCTTGGACCCTGGTGGGCCGAATCTGCGCCCTCTGGGCCCCGGCGGCGGTCCCGGAGAGGGCCAGCACGCGGGCTCCGCCGACGCTCTCGCAACGCGGGTCGCGCCGCGCGCCTCCCGGACGAAGCGTGTTGGTGCGCGATGGCGATCCTCGCCTGCGGGGAGCGGAGCACACGCGTCGGATGGCGAGGGCAGCACAAATATTGCACTCACGTCCCAGTATGGCAGCAGCGGGACGGGTGGCGTGAGGACAGGGGGTGGTGAGGATGATTCCACAGATCTCGCTGAAAATGGCCGTGTCCTTCCCGGGGGAGGCAGGCGAGCACACACCTCGCGTCCGAGCGCGAGTCGACGAGTGGTCGCCGAGAGATCGCCGAACCACGTTTCGAGTGTGCGCGCCGCGCACATTGCACAGCTGCGGGTTGTAACTCGACTGCCGATCGCGCGCGCGGGATTTGAATGGAGCTCGCTGGCGCCAGTGCACGGCAGCACCGCCTAGTATCTCGGCCGGAACGAAGGAGCAGTCCCCAATCGACACGTTGAGGACGCTGGGCTGGATCTGTTGAACTGCCACAGCGGGCGGAGGCGCGGGTGCCAGAGGAGGGTGACGGCCGGCGGCGGCGTGCGGCGGCGAGTCGGAGGCGAGGGGGTGGCCCTGCCACGCGACACCGGCGCCCCGTCGGGACCCGCGCTGGAGCAGCTTCGGCGTCTGGCGGGGCTGCTGCGGCGGGCGGGACTGCGGCGGCGTACTGCGGCGCGAAGCGGCAAGGTTGGGCGGCGGCGACGGCGTGGCCGGCGATCGGCTCGGGGCGGCCGATCCGCCCGGTGACTGGGTCTCCTCTCCCCTACCCGCGGCCGGGGCGAGCCCGTCCTGGGGGCCCGCTGTCGTCGCCATTTCTGTCGATTGCGGCGGCGCCGTACGCCTCAACGAGCGGGTCGCCGAGCGCGCCGCGCGGCTCTGGGCGTGCCGCGTCGACCCTCTCGAGCGATCGGGCCGCCTCCGGGCGCGGCGCGTCGAACGGTGCGGCCGTCAGCGAGGAATCGGCCCAACACTCCAGGGCTGGGATTCGGCGCGGGTGGGCTCTCTCTCGAGGTCTCTGGGAGCCCCCCGGCGGATTCGGGAGAGAGAGAGAGAGAGAGAGAGAGAGAGAGAGAGACTCCGGCTGCTGCGGCGAGTGGCTTGCTGCTCGCTGCGATGGCGAAAAACTCGTCTCGTGGCACACCAAGGGCTTATGCTCTGTCGAGACGTGAGGCGTATGCGCCCAGGAGGGGAGGGTGCATGCGTAACGACGCTGCTAGAGATGCCTTTCGGGGCCCAGAGATAAAACTTCTGATGCCATGCGTGACCTAGTAGTGTCCCCAGCTATGGGCGTGTCCACGTTGGAGCCAGGTGTGGTGTGGACGCGAGAATAGCTCCGCCGTTCATGGAGGCAACCGATGCGAGTCGACTGGTGTGTGTCGTCGTGGTTTCGTATCAAGAATTCTCTCTCTTCTCTCTCGGATTCGGGAATCTGCTCCAAGAGCCCAAAATCCCAATGGGTCCCTCGAGGGGTACCCTGGGTGGGCGGGGCCTCTACTTGCCAGGGGGCAAAGCACCGGGTAGTCTTCACACCAGCCAGCCCCCTAACGCGGCCTCGGGTGGCGTGCGTGCGGTGTGTGTGTGTGTGTGTGTGTGTGTGTGTGTGTGTGTGTGTGTGTGTGTGTGTGTGTGTGTGTGTGTGTGTGTGTGTGTGTGTGTGTGTGTGTGTGTGTGTGTGTGTGTGTGTGTGTGTGTGTGTGTGTGTGTGTGTGTGTGTGTGGTCCGGCTTGAACGACACCGGGAGCACTTTGAAGTCCCCATTGTCTCCACACGTCGACCCATAGAGATGTCCCCACCGCAGTCGGATCTCCCCCACTCGTAGTCTTGTCGGCGCGCTTGCCTCGTGTAGGACCGCATTCAGCTCTACCTCTCTCCTATCCTCCTCCCTTCTCCCGACATCCCCCCCATCACACTCAACTCTAATGAAGCATAGACCCTCATCCTCTCCCCTCTCCTCCCAATCTTCCGTGATGGCCGCGCATCGACATAGTATCCACCTGTCCTCTCGGCATAGCTCCTTGATAGACGCACCTATTTTGGAGGGATGAAGCCCCATCACCCTTCCCGTTACCTTGGCTACCTCAAAGGCCTTACTCCAGTCCATCTTCGTGCCCCTCTTCCTATTGAAGAAATAAGTATCTGCGTTTCTACCCAGACGAGTGAAATTATTCTCGTCCACCATCCGATTGACAAACTGGTCATTGACATGTCCCCTCTCCCCCCCAAATCTGATCAGACGTCCATTGGCGTCACCACCGACACAGTGAGCATATTCGTTGAATTGGCTGACAGCTTCGTAGATTGCATCATGAACCTTCCCTGCATTTGACCTTGCTTTAGACGTGTCCGGACAGTAGTAGGCGGTGTAGACCTTTAGCGAGTCGTCCACCGTACACCTCAGAAGTACCGACAGGACATGTCCCGCAGTTCCCACAACACTTTTCCCCACTTGAACGAAGAGGTTAGTACGCCACAGAATCAGTACTCCACCTTTGGTCCTCCCACCAGCTCTTGAGGGCCCACCTTCCACCCCAGTGTGAGCACCCTCGATCCCAAACCTCCTGAAAAGATTGAGGACGATTTCACCTCTCCGCGCCACCAAGTGCGACTCCACCACCATATAGACTCCGCTCCCTTCCTCCAACCGCTGTTTTACTTTAAGCTGGACCACGGACATCTCCACCTGCCCATCTTTTCCGTCTCCCTCGTCGAAGTCTGCCATAGCCTCCCTGTATGAACTTCCTCCTTTCGTGGCCATGTGACGTCGTACTGCATTAGGGTTTGGCACGAACAGAAATCCATTTGCGTTTGCACACTCGACATCTATCTTCTGTATCATCACTTTTGTTGCTGCATTTCCCGACGTCTCATCCGTCGTGTGCTCCTCTCCAGCTGCCTCTGGTCCCGACCCATCCACCCGTTTACCCACTTGCCCCGCTCCCTCCTCCTCAACCCTCTCAACGACCATTCTTCCCTCATCTCCCCTCTGTTCCACCAGGTACTCAAGCCTCTTTGTCGCCGCAGCGCACTCCATGCCCTCCGCCTTCCTCCGTCTGACATATCTGGCAATAGCAACCAGTTCATCCGTTTTTACCACATTCCTGCCCCATATCGTTTGTCTGTACCGTCCCTGTAACGTCCCAGTCTCCCCCATGAACTTCGCTGGACTGTCCTTGAACTGCCCATATTCCTGTTCGAACCTGATCCCTCTAGCCTTCCTCCTATCCTCCTCACTCATCTGTGCACTCCACCTTTCCATAAGCTGACCGTCCCCTCTCCACCGTGCCCACCTGCTTATGCAACCCCAGTCGTAGACTCCATC